TATTTAAGTTGCAAGCTAAATATTTAGGTGGCTAGCTAAATATTTAAGTTGCAAGCTAAATATTTAGGTAGTTAGATAAAGGTAGCTAGCTACATATTTAAGTTGCAAGCTAAATATTTAGCTTGTTAGCTAAATATTTAAGTTGCAAGCTAAATATTTAGGTAGTTAGATAAAGGTAGCTAGCTAAATATTTAAGTTGCAAGCTAAATATTTAGGTGGCTAGATAAATATTTCAGTTGCAATCTAAACGTTTAGCTCAAAACTAAATATTTAAGTCACAAGTTAAAAATTTAGCTTGTTAACTAAATATTTAATTTGTAAGATATATATTTAGTTTATAAACTATGACATTTATAAATGTATGAATCATATATTTATAAATGTCATAGTTTATAATCATGGTGAAAAACTGACTTTGAAAAATAAATCTGCTTTTTTTCTTATGAAAGGTTAAATAAAACAAAAATATTGGTGGTAATTTTGACTGTGTAACTTTACAAACGGTACCCCATAATATGGTTGATGTTAAATATTTTTTCACATCTGTATGCTGCATAGCTACAGGTTGTATCTAAATTCACAGGATATCCTTTTATTTGACAAACGAAATGGAAAACAAAATATCTGAATGCCTTAATATTGATCTAATATGGTGATTTTCAAGATGGTGTCAATGTTCGAGATCTGGCCTTAAAATAGGTTGCCTTCTTTCACTGTGTTACGTCCCTCACCCATTACTTGCTGGAGTATTGTTAATGATGTGATCTGTAATGTTTGGCGTTTAATCTGTACTGTTTAAACATCTTAATCTAAACCTAATCTAATCACTGCCCTGTTAAAACGTTCTGTTCCTTCTTATTAATAGCTCAATCACGCCTTTGGCTTCTCTGTCAGTTGAGCAGATATAAATGACCCCTGCATCATCGTACATGTCAAGTTGTATGGATTGTCCGTAATTTACACAAATTTTCCATCATTTTGCAGACATACGGACATATAAAGCAATCTCGCAGATTTTTTCATGTTTTACGGATTTTTTCAGAAACTCAGTTTCAAATTTATTTAAATTGTAGGCTTGTTGGATGTTTAAAAACAGTAAATAACATCATCCAACCCGCTCAGCTGCTAGAATTAAGTTTTCCCATCCTCATTTTCTCCTCCACTGC